CACCCCCTCCTGTGACCAGGACCCCAAGACGTGTCACCCTGACTTATAGGGACCTGCCCCGGGACAGCTGCCGGCGGGTGAGGGAGAGGCTGCCGCTCCGGGCCCGGGGATGGGACGAGGGTGGGGACCGCGTCTCCAAGAGGCGCAGGTGGGAGGAGCTCGCCCCGGTGCCCTGGAGGCCGGCGTCTGCGTGACCCGCTGGGCCCGGGTCCTCAGACGGCCCTGACAGAGAGGGGGCCGGAGGAGGGGACTCCAGGGTCCCAGGGGCGACGGCCAGGGACACGGAGCTGTCACTGTCACCTTACGGGCCGGAAGGAGTCTCGGGAGCCCAGTCACCCAGCTCTGTCCGCCGGTGGCTGAAGGGCCACTGGGCCCCGTGACTGCCTCGCCCTGCAGGCACCTGTCCCGGGGCACAGGGGGGGTCTCAGCCGCCCCCGCTCCCTGCAGCTTCCCCTGGGCCTGCATCTGAGATCAGTGTGGAAGTCGATGGTGAGCTAAACCGCACGAAATATGACGACGGGTCTGCTCTTGAGCCAGGATTACTGACACTCTGTTATTTTGCTTGGCCACTTTGAGCCCGTCGCTGTGTTGCTATCACAGCTCCACGGTCCTGCCGTCCCCCGGGCTTTGCTCCCGCCAGAGGCAGCACTGGCTTCGGCTCTGGCCTCGCTCCGTGCCGGGCTGTGCCTGACATGGGCCTCGGTGTAGCCGGACACGCGTGTGCCCATGTGACTCACGCACCTGCTCTGAAATGACAGCCGAGGCCAGTCCACGCTACCGCCGTGTCTGCACCCACACGCAGCACACCCAGGTGGGGTCAGAGTGCCACGGGACAGGCCTGGGTGCCCAGGATCCAGCCTCGCTTTCCCCAGTGAAGGAACTGAGCATGGCTTATGCACATGCATGTAACACGCGTGTCACTCTGTAAACAGGACAGCCACTTGCGGTCAAAGAGACAGATCTCCTCTTTCCCTCTGTGGACAAACGCCGTATGTGGAATCCTGTGTTTAGGACAAACGCTGCACATCTTTCCATATGAACACAAACACGTACACCCACCTGCATAGCCGCGTGCTACATGGGTATGATACAGGTGGAGATATCGCCCACCTTCCTCCTCTGTGAAGGAAACTCTAGCTGTATATATTTGAAGTCACAGTTACGGAAAAAAGACACAGGACATAGGTGTTCACGTGTGTATCTGTTCACATATAAACACATGCGGCTGCGAGACGCCTCTCGTCCCCCGTTCCCCGGGACCCCGAGGCCGGGCCATCCAGCACTGAGCACGGACGCCTCGTGTGACCAGACATTCGGCAAACATGTGAGGGATGACGTATGTCTGCACGCGGCTCTCCCGTGGACCAGCTGCAAACGTTACAGTATGAATTTAACTTTGAATTTTACACCAGAGTCTCCATAATAGTCTCTGATTCTGGGTCTCGCACGCCTTTACCCTGTTCTGTAGACACACACATCAGATCTGCACTGCGGTGTTGGCTGCAGAGCTCCCGGGCCTCACCGTCGTGCGGGCAGGGCTTCCCCCCGCTCGCTGCCCTGGCCTGTGCGCTGCCTGGGCTGAGTCTCTGGACTCGCCCTTCCAGTGGGTTTTTTTTTTTAATTTATTTATTTATGCATACAAGAACTGGGGTGCAGGCCAGAGGTGCAGGGGGGAGCTGAGAGGACTCACTAGAGACAGAGTGGGGCACAGAAGAGGCCGATCTGCAGAAATCCACTGCTGAGGGGAGCAGCGGGGAGACAGGAGAGTCTGCTGCGCCATGTGGGCAGCTCCCTGGCCGGCGGGGATTGAACTTGTGCTGCAGAGGCTGCGGACAGCTTCACAGTGCTTCATAGTGCGTCTTAACCCCTTGTGCCACCAGGGAGCCCCCCCAGTGGGTTTGCTTGAGAAATGCTGCCTAGATGCTTGAGGATCCAAAGAGGGGCTCGATGAGCGAGGGGCTGGGGCCACACAGACACCCTTTTGTGACCTTCACTGTGACCTTCACTGTAACCTTGCCAGGGTCATTGGGAGGCCCTAAGCTTAGTTTTCATCTTGGTCATAAACCCTCACCGTACCTTCTAGCGCTTTCTTTCTCTTCAAGATCAAAGACGGTGTCCCCTCTGGGGGAAAGATCGCAGAAGCTTCTGTAACTCACCCTAAAATTACAATCAAGACTGTGTCAAGCGCTTATGAAACAGAAACTCTCTGTGCCAAGCCCTGAAAGTGAGTAACAAGACGCTCCCCTTTGGTTAAGCATAATCACTAATTTGGGGTTCTACCTGTACATTTTTGCCATCGATTTATCCCCTAATTAACTTCAACTCTGCAGAGGCAGGAGGCCGGGAACGCTGCTGGTTGGTCCTAATTATCCACCACGGCCCTCGTGAAGGAGCGTTTCTGATACAAACTGGTCTTTGAACCGCAGCAGGGGGGCCGTCCCTGCAGGTGCCCTTCAGTGTGGCGTTCGGTTGGCAGCCACGAGCCTCATTTTCGCGCTGTGGAAGTCTGCCTCCTAAATCCTCATGCAAAACACTGCCATCCCCGTGCTGGGTCTCAGAAAACAACGCGTGGCCTTTGCACCAGGTGTAGGCATCCCGCACGTGACACAGAGTGGCTGCCTGGCGTTGAGGGGATTTAAAATGATATATGGCCCATATCTCACGCCTTAATGCACCCGATGTTGGTGTGCTGGCCCCCTGTGTGACAGTGTGTGGTAGTCGCAGAACCATACTTCAAATAAAGACTCTCCATCACAGAAACGGAAGCAAATTAGCAAGGCTCGCCCTGACAGGCCAGTTAAATCCTGGGACTATGCCGGCAATCAAGGCTGTTGCCGCTGGGTGGTGGCCGCCAGCAAACCTGGGTCCCACACTGAGTGTCTAGCTCACGCCTCTGAATAGTCAGCGAACAATACATCCGAAATCTAGTTTTTCTAAACACCCCATTAAATGCAAGCTCAGTGTGTGAACAGTCAGTTGAACTGGACATATCACGGGCAGGAACCGAGGGGCCTGATACTATCGACCGCCTCAGTTGTGTCCATGATGAATACAGACCTGGGTTGCTGCGGCTGTTCATTCAACACGTGCTTCGTGCAACAAGGGATCGCCAGTTTACGACCATTTCCCAGGCCCCTGTTCAGACGGGGACCAGAGACCCGCGACACGTGTGACCCAGAGAGTCTCCTGCTCGGTCGGGCGCGTCCCCACGTAACTCGCCCAGGGTGACCATGCTCTGCTCGCTGTGCAGTCACTCCTCACCCGAGAGTTAAGGGCTACAGAAAGGAAAAATTCACCCGGAGAGAAAATTACTCTTGAAGACCTTTTAAATGGAAGCTCTTCTGACCCTGCCTATTATTGTCTGACTTCTGAAGTCCGACTTCTGTCGATTTGGTCTTTTCAGCTGTTCAGGAACAGCGCACGGGCCGCGCTCAGCGCTCGCCTGTCCAGTGTCCGCCGAGGGCCCCTGGCGGCGGCTTCACGCTCCCACTGCAGCTGCCGGAGAATCCCGAGGAGCCGTCCCACCCCCTCCTCCGGGGGACCCGGCGCTGGCCCCTTCTCCCGGCCTCGCCCCCCTCTCTGCTCCGCGGGTCCTCTCAGATGGGGGCGGGGCTATGTTCCTACTCACGAAATGAATACACAAGCGGTTAAACACGATTCTACTAGATTCCTTTCCCAGCATAACGCAGAGCCAGAGTGTCCTACGGACATTGCATCCACTTTATAGAGACGACCCTGAGGGACCAGGCCTGAGTGTCCACCCTGGCTCTTGTTAGCTATCTCAGAGCCAGGGTTTAAACCGGGGCAGCTCGGCCAGGTGGCCCAGCTCCCGCCCACGCGCTCCCGCCACAGGAGCTCGCCCGGTGGCTGCAGGGGCGCTGCTCCTGGAGCTGGGCCAGGGCTCTCCACGATTGCAGATCCCACTGTTGCCGCCACCTGCACACGCTTAGGGACCTCCCGACTCTGCCATCTGGCTGGGCTGTGCTCCCTGGTCTAGTGAGCTCCACAATCCTTCCTGTAAATGCACCGTGGTGAGGCGGCATGGAGGGCGACGCGGCTCCTTCCTAGTCTGAGACGACAGGGAGGTTTGCTCTCTGATGCCTGGAGTGACCGTGGAGAGAACCACCAGGCCAATGTCTGAGCTCAGTGGGAGGATGTGCTGGGACTGGTGAGGTCTGCGCTCGAATGGTGAGGCCTGCGCTCCACAGGTGAGGTCTGCCTGGGAGGCGATGCTGCCCGGCTGGGAGGTGTCTGCCTGGGGGATGCCACCCGCACACCCCACAGAAGGGCCTAGAAGGTCCTTCGTGGATGCTGTCCTGACAGCGTGGGGGCCGGGGGAGCCCCACACGAGCCCCTCACTACACTCTCCGGCCAGGGACGTTCTGTCTGTGACGTATGTGGCGGGTGGATTCCTGGCCTTGCTGCCCTATGCCCCGAGGGGGGGCGCTCGCATCTGGGGCCCCACCGCCACCCCTGCACCCCAGCACCCTTGGGAGGCTCAGGGCAGCCGCTGGTGCCATTGGGCGGGTTTTGTGAGAGGAGGGGTGAGGACGGGGGAGGACACTGGACTGGCTGGGGCGGAAGAGAAACCAATCAAAGCAACACCGGGGGCCCAGGTGGATGCGGCCCAGAGGCCCCCAGGAGCCTGCACCAGGGGCGAGACCCTCCTCCGCGAGCCCCGGGCGTCCGAGGACATGGGCTGTGTGGACAGCAGTGGCTCTGCAGCAGCAAGGCTCCCGGGCTTGAGGGACACAGAAGATTCTGGAACAGTGGGCGCTGCAGTGTTAGGTGACCCATCAGCCCAGCCACCTCTACGTCTGTCTCCGCTCCCGGCAAACCGAGGGCAGTGATTGTGCCGCCGGCCTGCGGCCTGCCCCTCTCCAGCAAGGCTGAGCACCTGGCGGAGGTGCAGCCACCTGCCTGCTGAGGGCGGAACCAGAGGGACTCACTGGGTGCGGGGGCTGGGGGGACAGCTCTGCGGGACGGGGGCACCAACTCGCCTTGATGACGTCTTCGTCCGACGACCTGCACTCCACGGCCCTCGGCAGGTCAGTCACTGTCCCGTCCTCCTCCACCGACACCACCTTCACCGGCACGGCCACCGTCTTCCCAGTGAGGATGGCCGTGTTCAGGATCTCGGCCTCCTGGAACACAGACACACCCTCGTCACAAACTCCAGCAAACGGGGTTCCGGGGACCTATGGAGCCGGGCTGCCCTGCGTGCGTCTGGGAAGGCAGCGCTGGCTCTGCCTGCCCCAGCTCCTCTCACGTTCAGGGACCCATTTCCTCAGGAGCCTCCCTCTCCTGGGGCTGGGGGTGGCAGTAAGCCGGGAGGCAGCCATCTAGAAAGCTGCCCGCAGCTGCCCCTGCCTGGTGACCGCAGAGGCGCGTATGCCCGATGGCGGAGTAGAAGGCGGTGGGCCTGGTTCCCGTGTCACTCTGTGGAGACGAGCGTCCTACCAGCTGCACAGGACGTGCGTCTGTTCCCGGCCACGAGGCCATGGGGTCTGGGCCACTTGTTACTGCAATCTAAGCTGGTTTTCCTCACGCCCAGCATTACTTCCTAACCTCAAAAATAGTCACTGAATCCCAGATGACGCCCGAGGTGAACCAGACACGCAAACGCAAGCCCGCCTTTTCCTGCTCGTGCTGCCTGGCCGGCCTGGCCGTTCTGGGGGGTGCGGCGGCCCAGCCCAAGTCGCGTGGAGGCCTCCCTGCAGCCATGCCCTTCCTCAGCGTGGCTCCCAAATGGCTGATTTCTCAAACTGCTCCTTTCATTTCCCAGCAACTCCCAGCCGCCTCATAAACAGAACAATGGCCCATCGCCCTGTCCTCTGTGGTTGCTGGGCCGAGCTCTGCTCTGCCCTGCCAGCCCCTCCCCTGCACTGCGAGGGCCTCGTTTATGCCTCCCCGACAGGGAGGCAAGGACCAGAGAAATCCTACATCTCATTAGCCGTAACGTGGCATCCCCATAAATAGCCCGAGTGCATCCTCTAGCAAGTGGGGAGTGTGGGCCCAGCTAACCCTGTGCGGCCAGCGCTTCAGGAACCCACCCTGCTCTGCTGAGCACACAGGCCGGGTCAATGGTGGCGGCGCATGTGGGGGATTAGTGCCTCCCAGCTGCTGTACCGGGGTAATGGACTCATTCTTCGACGGGGGGCGGGAGGCTCAATGTCACTAGTGACACGGTGGGAGCCTCCTGCCTCCACCAGGAGCTGCCCCCAAGCCCACAAACACAAGTGGAACTCAGGGTGCCACCACCTCTCACATGGGGTTCAAATCGCACTGCTGGTCACATGACCTTGTTGTAAACACATTTGTGAACCGGATTCCCACAAAATGCTGCCAGGGGCTGTCCCCCGACCCTGCCTGCTCTATGCACCCCTGGGCTGGCTGCCTGCACTGGGTGAGCTGGCAGGGAGGCACCCAGGTCTGCAGAGCTGGCCAGACACGGCAGGCGAGGGCGTGGTGGCAGGGTGTCTGGTAAGGCAGACGCATCTTAGAGAATTATTTTATTGTGGTGACATTGGTTTGCTACACTGACAGGATTTAGGGGTGGAGCGCCGAACCTCAGGCATATGCATCCACCACTGAGGCCCCAATAATCCTCCAATTCAGCCCCCTGGGCCCCACTGAGCACCCCCTGCCCCCACCCCAGCCTCAATGCTGGGCCTCCAGGGCTTGCTTTAGTGCTGTCTGCTCCTGTGTTTCATCTCTATTCTCCATGCCTGAGTGAGCGCACCTGGCGCTTTCCTTTCCTGACGGCGTGCTCAGCAATTCCCCTCTGCCCCCCACGCTGTGGCGCTGGCGAGACCTCGTCGTTCCTAGAGCTGAGTGGTGTTCCGCTGCAGACACGCGACTTCCTCACCCGCTCGGGGAGCCGAAATCTCATCTCTCATGTCAGTACTAACCCAGGGATACGGGTCATCATAGCAGTGGTGTACACGTGCAATGACTTAGGCGAATCAGGCAACTCAACATGTCTTCAGCAAGGGGAAGGGGGAAAGGAGGGGGGGCAGCGACTCCCCGGCCCCAGGGTGGTGGAGGTGCAGGTGCTACCAGGTGGGTGTGGGCCTCAGAGCTCCCCTCCCACGGCCCTGGGGGCCACAAAGCCTCCGGTGCGCTCCCCCGTCTGCAGCGGCGGCACCACGTCTCAGTGAGGATGAGCAACCCAGACATGGCGTCGCAGCACCGACGTCCACCTGGCTTGGGGGTGAGGGCGGTGACCTGGTGAACCCCACCTGATCAAAGCTGGGCAGTCTCAGCCCCCCAGCGAGGCCCACTTGGACGCTGACCCAGGCTTGCACATTTGCGTGCTTCCTTGAGCCGAGAGTCAACATTTGCATGTGAAATCTGATTTCACACTTGCTCACGTCTGGAGAAGGCCCCCGAGGAGTCGGAGCAAAGCACATGGACGGGAAGCTGGACTGAGGGGCTCCGATGGGTGACTGCGCCCCAGGGGGTGATCATCCCCGACAGAATCCCTCTTGGACAAAGGGGGGCTGCCTGGCCTCTGTGCCCCCAGGACCCCGACGCCCTCTCTGGGTTACCTGGACCTGGCAATGGGAATAAGGCCGCTTTGTCCGCACCACGAGGAAATCTCCCACTACGGCGAAAGCACACCCTCGTTTTGCATAAATCATTTCAAATCTCATCTAGCATCAAGCTCCAGAATTAAGAAGCTAAGTGACAGCTGTTTAATTAACTCCTTAAGCTGATTAGGCAGCATTACCGAAATCCCCTCCAGGAGAGACGCAGGCCTGCTGCTGCCCCACCGCTGTTTAAATTCCAGAGTCGCTCGGCCGACCCCCCAGAGCTCCCCACCCCGCAGGACCTGGTCAAGTATGGATCTGTATTAACAGCGCGGCCTGAGGATCAAAATAGCCGGGCTGCTGGCACCCCGCGGGGCAAGCACCGAGCCCCCCGAGTGAGCCGCTCAGCCCTCCCGCCAGCTCAGGCCCAGGCCAGCCCTGCCCCTCACCGTGGACACCACCAGACAAAGGCACATTAGCCAGTGTAAGACTTTAAGCCAATTTCACTCAAAGCTTAGTGTTTTGAACGTGGCATTTCCAAGGAAGCACGGAAAGCACCATACCCCGGGGTTCCACTTGCCGCTGCGGCTGGATGTCCCTGACGCCAGCCCCCATGAGAGGGAGGCGGGGTTTGGCCACTGAGGGCTGCCGGGCAGCAGGTGGGTGGACGCAGGCAGGGGCCTTGAGGCAGAGCAGAGGCTGTGGGAACTGTGACTGTGCTGGCCTAGATTTTTTAGAAATAGGACATTGGTTTCAGGGGGTGCATCCAGCGGGCCAGGGGAGGGTGTGCGCCCCGGTTTTATGGATTGGTGGGTGCTGAAAGGGCTGTTCCTGGCCTGTGGCTTTGCGGTGGCAGCAGCCGTGTGGATGGACTTAGTGAGACCCACATCACAGGACACTCGTGGGCCATGAATTCACTATAACACACTCAGTGCTGGGTGCACCCGTGACCTCCATGCACCTAGAACACGCCCACCACCTCCCAAAAGCAAGCCTGGGTCCTGGGGCATCTCTCCTCCCGCCTCTCACCCCTTCTTGTCCCCCAGATTTGTGGGAGCCAAGGCGGGCTCCACGTGGCCTTCTGTGGCTGCCCATGGCCCCAGGTGAGTGTGGTCCTACCTGGTCCCTGGGCCAGCGCCTCGTTCCGCCCACGGCTGAGTCACGTCCATTCGCCCACCAAGCACAGTTTGGGGGCTGTGGTTGTGCAAAGTCAATTCTTTCTCTGCTGTTCAAATCAGAGTTTGCAGACCAGGGTTCTGGACCCTGCCCAGCCACGGCGAGGTCTGGCCAGCACTGCGGGGATTTAATCCTTCAGTTGCTCACAGGATCTGAACACTGAGCAGCAGAGAGCTGCATTTCTGGTGTTTCTTGCAAGCATCAGAGACCTCAGCAAATCCGGGGCCTCCCTCAGTGGGCTTGGAGGGGTGACCTCTCTCCATTTCAGGGTCCATGTCTTCACATAACGTGTCTGGCAGCCCCAGGCTCTGAACCCCAGTCCCTTCATTTAGAAGCTTCCAGACCTGGATCAGAACCCTGCTGAGTCCAGCTGTCCAAATGGCCAGGAAACACCCAGGACACAGGGCGAGCCCGGCTTCGTTCACGAAGTTGCTCTTGAGGCTCGGGGCCCGAGGCCCAGGGCCAGCAAGTCACCGCCCCCCCCCCCCATGAGCAGAGCCTGACGGTCAGACGGACGCTCTCATGTGCACGACGGCCCCGGGGCGGGGGTTCTCGTGAGAAACTTCGCTGTCTGAGCGGCGCAGACAGTCTCCCAACGGCGACTCCGTGAAACTCGGCATGAATATTTAATTTATGTCTGTTGATATCATGAAGTATTTGCTCTTTGAAAGCGGGCCGTCCTTGCCTGCAGCCTTTAACTTAAGTGTCTGTCAGCCCTTTTCTCTGTCACTGCAGGAAAATGCATGTCGAATTGTCAAAGTGAGACTCGGAGGCTGGGAGAAGCCTGTGGGTCTGGCGGTACACGGGACTCGGGAATCAACTCAGGCGGCACGGAAGGACACGCGGAGTTAAGGAACATCAAAGCGCAGCTCAGCTCGCATCAAGCTAACCGGGTGGACGCGTGCACCGTGGTCAGCACCAGCCCACGGAGGCCGCCTGGCAGGCGGTGGGGGGGGGGCGGGGAGGGGTGTTGCTGTGACCTGCAGGCCTCGGGGGTTCAGCGGGCCTCCCCGGCGGGCGGGGAGCCAGGCCGTGATCATTTCTGCTAATGAAGACTCGTTGCGGCGAGTCCCAGCTGGGGCAGATCCAAAAGCTGCTGCAGCTCGGCCTGGACATTCGGTGCTTTCCTGACTCTCAGCAGACCACTCTTAATTATGTTCTTCCCAGGCTAATGTGAAAAGGAATTTGTGTGTCTTGAGTCCACGCTAATTAGGAAGACGGGGATGCAATTAAGATTATTCCGGAAGGCGGGGGAGTCAGTCCGGATGTGGACGGGCAGCGTCCAGGCCTGGGCAGGGCTGGGCTCTGCAGGCCGCCGCCCGTTCCTGCTGCTCGTGAGGGCTGCTCCCTCTGCTGCGTCCCGTCCCCGAGCCCTCAAGCCCTGTTTTCCAGATGTTTGTGGGGCCACACTCCAGGGTTGAGCCCGCGCAGCCTGG